TTTTTAGAGAGAAGTCATAAAACCCGTGAAATAGATATTACACTAATACACCTTAGTACGCTCTAATTGCATTGTTTTCTTTTGTGTCTATTTGACCATCACATTTTAATAGTAAGTTTTGTTTTACTTGACTCGACTAGTGTTTTCTATCTGACACGGAATTTTTTCCTACATTTTTTCAGGGAACATAATTTCAACCCACAACACGACAGCTTCACTCTCCACCCAGTCAACGTTCAACCAGCAATGATGGAAGTTCTGAACGCCAAGAAAGACCTCCTTCCGGTTTTCAAGGTCGCTGGTCGCCATGCACACGCTGCTATGGATGTATGGGTAAACAAGACTGACCCAATTTGCAAGCCTTATAGCGGAGCTTCGCATTTAACAGCTTTGTCAGTTGCTATGGCGATATTGACGAGTTTGGTTGCCATGATAACAAGCTACTAAATTTGACTGCTCGTGTATTATTCACGCAGTCGCATAAGACTGCAAAGCCAATGAGAATCGAGTCATTACACTTAAAAACGCAAACGCTTTTCCGAAGGTCGTGGGTTCGAATTCCAGCGAGGTCTGAAATTAAATTTTCCGAATTTATTACTAAGGGTCTTTCTTCCGGAATTGCCTCCTTCTAAGCACTATAACTTTCTTTCATTTCTGTATCATTACACTTAAGCCATGAAATAGGGTCTTTGAGCCCGTGAAACAAAACTTGGCTATGAAAGTGATAGTCTAATAGACACAAAAGAAATAAGCAAAATTAAAAGACCCTATCGGCTAATACGTCGTTGCCATGCACGTTAACCACCCAATTCAAATTCTGTGAGAACAGGAACTTTTGTTTCTAAGAATTCAACTGTGAAATGCAAATACAACGAACAATGAAACGTACTCCCGGGTGATTTGAATTGGGTGGAAACGTTTATAGCAACGCGTTAGCCTATTAGGTCTATTCATGTAGCTACAATAGTTACTCACGTCTGCAAATCCAATGAGAATCGAATGGTTACACGCTTAAGCCGTGAAATAGTAGTGAGTCATTAAACCTGTGAAACAAGTCCATTTGACTAGGGAGTCATTTTCATCCGTCTGTGAAATAGGAATTGTACTACTAAATACTATTACCCCCTATTAGCTCCCAATAGCTTAACTTATGAAATGCGACAAACTAATTAGGCAAACACGATTTTGATTTTGCCTTTTGGTAGCCTACTACACCCTAATAGTTACCATTAAACACTGACTAGTAGTAATTGTTTCAGACGGATGAAAATGACTCTATCAAAGTTTGATAGTCAAATAGACACAAAAGAAAACAATGTAATTAGAGCGTACTAAGGTGTATTAGTGTGATATCTATTTCACGGGCTTTGTGACTTCACTGTTGAATGATTAATAAAGATATACAAATATCGCTCAGTTAACTTTAATCATAAAATACGTTCCATCAACCCACCACTTCAGTATTTTTTTCGTTAGTATAATGATAAACAGTTAGTTATAAAAAACAAGATTGTTACATCTCATATAATTGGTATTTTCTCGAATGGATTAGTTAGAATGTTTAAAAACTCACATTTTCTATCAATACGTCCAAACACTACAGATGAAAGTACAAAGACAAGAGTCGAGTCCGCGTCCACAATGTTTCGTTTTCAAGTTACGTCACAACGGCCATCTTGGTTTAACTTCAACAAACGATTTCTCACTAGTATCTATTCATTCAACCAACATGGACGCCATTTATTTATTTTTTAAATCTCACGGGGATGGTCGAAAGCGATCAATACGCCTTTTTCCCGTTCAATGCGAGCAACCGCTGTTTTAGTTGGTATTAGTCTCTCATGCATAGAGACCTCACCAAAAACCAAAGCAAGAAAAAATGTTGTCATTACAATAGCCCCACAAATTTCCATTTTCTCCTATTTGAAAATAAGTCTCTATTCCAAGAAGGCTCAAACTCCAGGTCTTGTGGAATACAATCTTAGCCTCAAATCGGAGAAGTTCAAATTTCAAGAGCTATTGTAATGTCAACATTTTTTCGTTTTCTTTCTTCTTCTTTTGTTCTCTACGCAAGTCAGTTTGTCTACTATAACAGCGGTCGCTGACATTGAACTGAAAAAAGCTCAATAGACGCTTTGCGAACAAGGACTTGCCCTCAAGAGCGACGTAAGGACGACATAGAAACAACCACAAGCGTAAGAACATTTTTATCGCTTCTGACTATTTTTACGCTTATGTCGATCCTGCGAACGTATTCCAGGCCTTGGCTGCGACCTTACGTTTATCTTAATGTCAAAGGTATGATCCACAGCAATGTCTTTACGTAAGGCCCGGTTCAAACGTCATGCTATCGTCGCGCYGAACCAGTTTAAATTGAGYACATGAATAGCTCGACGTCTGAATAAGTCAAATTCGGGACAACTGTGCGAATATAGCGCCAGTCGTGCTGCACGGCAAAAGCTCCATGCTGATTCAAAGATCGAGCTATCTTTGTGCCGACAAATACATAGAAGAATGATTTTGTACAGTTGCACGGTTTAAGTGCGATCACTCTCCTGCATGTAATCGGACCATTTTTATGCTTTTTACAATATTTGCATCGACGTATTAACGAACGCCAAGCCGACAAAATGGCAACTGGTTAGGCAGAAAGTACGACGTATGAATCGGGTCTAACGTTTTTGGCGTTGATATCATTCGCTTGACCAACAGAAAACGCAGTAAAAACACATCAGCCAGAACAGCGTCATTTGAGTCATAAACTGTAGCAAATATTGTGGGAATAACAACAATATGGAAGGCTTATTTCGACTTCTTGATTCATACTTAAATAGCGGTATCTTCTACATTGGTATAACAACATACAACTATGACGACACTGGGTTTTGACGTCACCGCCTTACGCCATAACATTAAACATAGGTATTTCAAGAACTTTGTGCTAGCAACTGACGTCATGACGTCATCCATCGATATTAAGTAAAACGTAATTTAACTTACATCTGACGTCATCCGATGATAACGTCCCCGATAAGTTAACTTCCGATCAAAKCAAAATATTGACCCTTCTACCGATATAGCACACGTTTCTATAGAATACAAACACTAAAAGAGGGCATCATATTTAGTGCAAAATTTAGAGTGATCGCACTGCATAAACTAAATAGTGCTATTTAGTCGTATTTAGTAATCGTGCATGCGATACGCAAATTAATTCGAATTGATACAAATGAAGCATTCAAAACCGTCTTGCTTGAGGTCCACTTTAGCACATATTAGTACTTAAATTCAGTGGTAAACCAGTGAAACAAAAAGTGTAATAATGTGCGATGCACCGAAAAGATACGTAAAATAAAAAGAAATGAAGTGTGGTAGGAGAATTATAGAGAAAAACTCAACCCGTGAAACAAAATTTGACTATTAAAGTGTTAAAGTCGAATAGACACAAAAGGAAACAATGCAATTAGAGCGTACTAAGGTGTATTACTCTAATATCTATTGCAAGTTTTTTTACTTAATTCAGAGAAAACTCAACAACCCGTGAAACGAAAACTACTATTAAAGTGTGATAGTCAAAAATACACAAAAGAAAACAATGCAATTAGAGCGAACTAATAGGTATTAGCGTAATAGTTGTGTAGAAAGATAAATTTGACACCGTAAAAAAATAGGACTAGAAACAACTTACTGAGGTTTCCGACGTTAATACTTCGTCGGAGTAAAGAGCGAAAGATTAACGTCCAAAGTCATTAAGTTGTTTCTCCTATTTTTATTATGTTAAATCAATCTTTTTGCACAACTGTTTCTTTAGAAACACCGACGCAGCTCACACTAGTTTACCGCTAGTTCCACCATTTTGTGTATTAGAGTGTCAAATATCTATTTCACGGCTTTCTGACTTCAATCTATTTCACGGGTTTACGAGAGAAATCTTCAGCACTTTCATCACTAAATACTTCAGTGCCTCAAGACTTTTATTGTTTGTACTCTATAGAAAGTTCCCAGGGTATGTATCTCAACAGTAACATCGCCATATTGGCTTAACATGAAAAATGGCAACAGCCATCTCGAATTAAAAGATAAAATTTTGAACATATTTCTTGCGTGTGATAATAGATATTTGATGCTGACATTGCGGTATAGACCTGAATGTACGAAGCCAAACGAGAACCACTCCAATGTAAGAGATGTAGTTTACAAGAAGAACAGTCTGTCGGACAGATCATGCGATGGCTCGGCATGAATCGATTGTCCAACTTGGAAGGCCAACTTGTGCGCATACTACATAAACATAAACACAAACATAAACAAAAGTATAAACATTATTAACTAAGCTAAAGTGAACTATCACTGTCAACGGAAAAATGTTTAAAACAATATCAAAATTTTTAAGTATTCCTATTTGCTTGTTTCAGGACCTTAAAATGAGTTCTATCATATCTCAAAATTTTCATTTTCAATTTTCTTAAAATGAGGCTAGCGTTTCCTTAACATGATTTTATGTTGAAACATTTTCTAAGATATTTTCTCTTGATTTGGGATGTGCAATCTTATTTCAAGAGAACATGACTTGGAATAAACAACTCTGCGTGTTTATTCTAAGTGTAAAGATCCTAATTATCATATAATTACCTGGCATGGCGCAGGAACGCTGACAGTACCAGGCCAGTTGTAATAAAGATGAGTTAACTTGTACGTCAACCTTGGGGAGGAAAAAATACAGATTCAGACAAAGAAATAGATGGATAAAAAAGCAGATAAACTCGAGACAATTAACGTTCCAATAAGACATTAAATTCATTAAACCTGTGAAAGAAAATGTGTCTGTTCAAGTGAAATACACACAAAAGAAAACAATATAATGAAAGCGCGCTTTAAGGTGTATTAGTGTAATATCTATTTCACGGGATTTTGGATGATGCATTGTCATTTTGTATCACGCAGGCAAATCTAACACTATAAATGCACTACATTTGCACATAAACTTAAAAATTACTTCTGGACGATGTCTGGTTTCCACTTTGAGGTGTCATGGACAACGACGTAGTGAGTGGGTGTGACTGTACCCTGTCGTACRTGCTGACTRACCAGGAAGAAATCATACCTTTAAAAAGAATAGCAATTCATATATTATGGACAGAACACACGAGATTGAGGTCCAATAAACAAAAATATTTACCAATCCTTCCTGGTAATGGTATGGTCAAGTACTGTGCCTGGACCAGGGTTTGCAAGTCTTGACTGAGGACCTCGTCCCTATAAAGAAATATGACACTTTCATTAGAATGAAGTCATTAAATTTGCGAAACATAAATTGACTATCAAAGTGTGATAGTCAAATAGACACAGACGAAAACAAAGGAATTACAGCGAACTACTTAAACAACAGAGTAGTTGAATCGAGGTCATTATGCTGCGATAGTTGCCCAAGGAAACTGGATGTTCCGAAAAAAAAGTTCCCGAGAAGGAAGTTCACACTTCTATTTGTTAAGAAGTTGAGTTTCGCGATCTCTTTACCACTGTGTTAGCCTCATAGATTGTGTTTACAAAAATATGCAGAAATTTAGACTCGTGCGATTCAAACAATTTTCGTTGTCTTCTATATTAACAGATCTCAGGCATTTCTGTCTGTTACTGAATAAAACAATAGAGTCATTTTCATCCGTCTGTGAAATACGAATGGTACTATAAATACTATTACCTCTATTAGCTCTCAATAGTTTAACTTATGACATGCGGTTTTGATTTTGCCTTTTGGTAGCCTACTACACCCTAATAGTTACTATTAAACACTGACTAGTAGTAATTGTTTCCCAGACGGTTGAAAATGACTCTATGTTACATGGTTTTGTAAAGGAGATTGCTAATAGGTTTATTCGAACAAGCATACCTCAGAAAGGAATAATCTGGTGTTGATTCTCTTCTGTACCACAATGACAGTCATCTTGGGTACATAGGCCTCTCCAAATAGAGCAAAACACTCTGACAGCTGCTCTACTTCATAGCCTGCAACTATCTTCAGTTGACCATCTCCAACACCATCACGGAACACAACGATACGCTGTGGTAGGGTGTTATTAACCTAGTGATTGCAAAGCTATGGTTAAACTTGATTGCTTATAAGGTCAACTCTCGGCTTACAGACTCCCCGCTACAACGGACACCTCGATATTGCGGACAGTAAAATACTGAAGCCCCCATGAAAAATACAAAGAAATGACTGAAAGTAACGTTCAGTTATTACGGACTCTCGCTACTGCGGACACTAAAATACGGTCCCTAGGGTGTTCATAATAGCGGGAGTTGACTGTATATCACAATAATTGGATTAGAGCGTATTTCATATGACTGTGCAATGGACGGACGACGCGGCACGGAACCTCGCCTTCTAGTGACTCCAAATGAAAACAAAGATTCAACAATACATCACCGTCACTGCACGTGCAATGTCCCGTGTGTTTTTTTNTGTCCGTAATATTCAATTATTATGAATGTTTTATCACAGTTGTAGATTTTGGGATATAACAGCCAAAATGACCAACACAACCTATCATGGTTGTATTGTAAAAGGAAGGCTGTGTTCATCTTGCAAGTGTAAAAATTGAACAAGACCATTGATAGATCTAGCACAGAGTGTCACTTGCAAACAGAGAAACCAAAATTCCAATCTATTATGTCAACAGATGGTGACAAAAAATCAGGCTTCACAGGAAAGTGAGTGAGGTTAGGTGAGTGAGTAAGTGTCATATAAAACACAGGAAGACCATATCAAGTCTTGAAACTGTAGACATGATCATGACAAGAAAGTGAATGGGTGAGTGACAGCAGGCCCACTTACAGATGGGATATCAACACCCCACAAGGTTCCTCCAAGCTTGACATTAATCTGTAACGCAATCTTCTGAGTGACACTTCGCAACTTGTTCTGCTGGGATATTGTCCTGGCATTGATAACCTAGCAACAAAATCAGCTTGGTTAGAATGGATGCACAGATCTATGAAACAAATAGCACTAATTACTACTAAATAGTACTGATTAACAGTACAAAAAAAACAAAAAAACAAAGGAATTGAAATAATTCTAATTAGCATAGCACGATTTTGTACTGACTAAGCTTAAAGGGACACTGTCAATTGTCACTGTCATTGACAGTGTCCCTTTAATTTTCAAGTACTGAGTGTGTCTACAGCTGATTCAAAAAACTGCACAGTTGTTGGGTCAAACTACTTCAATACACAATAAACAAACTACACAAATTACATAATGGTTAACTTAGAAACGGAGGAGGCAAAGGCATGTCGTAAATACCTGAGATGGCACTGGGCTTTCCACGCAGCAAAGCTTCTTGACAGCAGCATATCGATCATCTCGTGACGTCGGAAAGATGATGACCACCATTTGTATCCTTGGATGTAAGTTTTCCCTGATGTTCCTGAGATAAGTCTCAGTTCGGTCATCTCTGACCTCGACCATGGTCGGGTCAGAGACTCTTATACCCAGGGAGGGAGTCACCTGTTTCATCATACTTATGAATTCCAATGCTTTGCTCTGATCCTTTTTGCAGAAAAGGACCATCCAAGAATGCAGGTCAACTGCAGAAATGACCTTTTGTCTTGTGGCTTCTCGACCCCAGTCAGCTTCATTACCAGCTGAACAGCTTGAGTTGAGGAATCGGATTTGCTCTGGTTGGAAGTGTCTGCCTTCAGTCTAAAAAAAGATTAAGATTTTAATAAAATCACTTTGATGARCAATACAAGAAAAGATTATTAAGAAAAATAGCTGTTCACTATACATGCATTAGTACTTTTGAAGAGCAATGCATTCGCCATCTTGAAAAGTGAGACTTGAGTCACTAAACTATAACATATAAATTATATAAGGAATTATGATGCTTATCATTGTTTTCAAGAAGAAAAAGTATTTCAAAGTTCGTATATTTGATGGAGACTCCCTTGATGTCACATCATTAGCATTTTCAATTTTCAAATGCCTTTAACTAAGAAAATAAAATTCAAAAAACTTTTTCTTTTTCAAAACAATGATTAGCATCATACAACCTATTCACCTTTTGTTAAAAATGATTTTTTTAAATGGTTCATATGCGCTTTAAAAGCTTCTCAACTAATTTCAAGTTCCCATCGTGTTTATATCAGAGTACAGAGACACAAGCGGCCGTTTTATATTTCTTTTATAAAATTTTTCGAGCTAAAAAGAAAATTTTGCCAGTAAGCCGTGTCTCTGTCCTCTGATATAAACACGGTCGTCAGCCAATCAGAGCGCGCGTTATATATCAAAAATTTTATAAAATACAATATAATAGTAGATTAGTTGACTTCCCAACTACGAAATATGTTCTAAGGAACAACATAGTGATTTGGGTCTCACTTTTCAAGATGGTGGACGCATTGTTCTCTGAAAGTACTGATGCATATATGTCACATCAAAACATTCTGTTGCTTTAATGCTGAGAACTATATGTCTTGATTCAATGCAAAAAGGTCTTATCAAGATGCCACAGGAAACCATTTAGGAGACTAAAATTAAAAATTAGTGAATTTTCTTTGTGGCGAACAAGGGGATTAAAATAAATGTGTAAGATTATTATAAGAGGCTGGTATCCAGTGTACCTGCAATGCATTCTGGTCTAGTCGTAAGCCCCAGTTGGACAGTTGTTCCAATGCTTCTGGGGTTGAATTGATATTTTGCATGAATTTCTTCATGGCATCTAGCCTCTGCATTGGGCCAACTCTTGTGTGAGCTGCTATGTCCTGCAAAACGAACAAACGGATGAAAAATTGAAATTATGAATAAAAGAGTTGTGTTCTGGAATGACCAAGATAGCCCGCTTTAGTCATCTTTCACTCGACATTCTTTAAAGAGCTTATGAAGCAAATTTTTTTGCTTCAAAAATATAATCAATATGATGAAGAAAATTATAGTTCTACAAAGTGCCACTGGATGCAGGCTTCAAATTTCAGAGAAAATTGGATTTAACAAATTATTATGCTAATTTGATGACATCAGTTGTTGACTCATTGATTATACAAAATTGTTTATTTTCAGCTTATTGTTTTGTAGAAAACATTTTTTATGTAACCAAAAACAATGGTTACATGGGTAAACAAGGAACACTCGCTACAAAACACAGTTGAAATTATATAGAGCAAACAAGATGACATCATCAAATTAGCATAATGGGTTTTTAACTCCAATTTTTTCAAAAATTTAAAGCCCTGCATCGAGTGGTAATTAGCCAAGCTGTTATTCTTGTTCTATTGACTCTATTTTTTTAAATAAGGCACTTAAAATTAGCTATTTGATAATGATGAGTTATTACCTTCATGACTCTAAAGTCAGACCTAATAGTGTCTGTAAGACCAGTCATACTACACAGTTCTGGGATAAGACAGATGATTTCAAGACTTTGCCTACCCTAAACACAACATAAAGATTTAACATGCATACAARAAAGAGAATTCTGAAGAACTAACTAACCCTTCTTCCTCCTTGTTCGTTATCCTTTTTCTTAGGTCTGTGAACCAAGAGGGGTTGACCATGATCCTTTATTTCAATATTGTATGCTTTCCTAGATAAGATGAATACATGAATATTAATGAACATGATCAGCCAGTATTCAATACCATCTTGTTTTAAACTATTCGTATAATTATGGACAATGAGGTGAGTTCAAATCCATTCCTGATCATTCGCCAATTCATTCCCATCTGTCAGTTTTTACATCGAATCTTGCAATACTGCATTTACTCGAATAGACACCGCACCCGAATAGACGCCACCCTCAAATAGACACCGCACTTAAAGCTCAAAATATTAATAGACGCCGCCCCCGAATAGAATTTGAGGAAATAATGATACTAGCAATGGGAATTTATTTTCTTTTAGAACATTTTTCATTTCGAAGTGACCGTACGTTTTTGCTCTCAGCAGCTGTTAGATTCCGACCACGAGGAGGACATTGATGTTAAAATAGAAGTTTAATCTGTTTAAAATCATAAATTGAATAGACAAAATGAACACAGCATTTTTAGATATTGAGAATCGTTACTGTTTGTTAGCAAACAGATACAATAAAAAGTATGGTATCTAGTACTGAATAAAATGTTTTTTTTTTTAATAAACGCTGCCCCCAATAGATGCCACCCTTGAATAAACGCCGCACCTGGATCGTGAAAAATGAAATAAACGCCGCTGCGTCTATTTGAGTAAAAACAGTATCTCTATTAAAGAATTACAATACTATTATATATGCAAGCAATTTTAGGATATACATGTATGCTTGGGACAAAACATGACAGATGTCTTTTGTTTTGCATTGAAAATCAAGTACATGTAGTGACATAAAAGGTTCATATGTCTTTTTTTATGTATATACAGATATATGTATAACAACCAAAATGACCAACACAACCTAGCATGGTTATATTGTAAAAGGAAGGCTGTGTTCATCTTGCAAGTGTAAAAATTGAACAAGACCATTGATAGATCTAGCACAGAGTGTCACTTGCAATGATCCCTATTCCACTATT